TTTTATACCTACCATCAACTGAAGGTTGAACCAATACAGAACACATTAGAGGGCTACAGAGACGTCAGATTGATTTGAGTGCTACCCAGAACGGACAGTTGATAGAGTGAGCGAGGAGTCACATGGGTGGTAAGAATTGATAGACAAGCCATGCTGTGAATGACTGAAACAACATGATTCAGAACTCAAAATATGTATCTTAGTGCGGGTAAGATTGCAGTAGTGCAGATATTTCTGATGTCTACCTAACCTGCACTGGTACATGTACTACATACAATGTATATGCAGGTTAGTGCAGGTAAAATTGGAGCTGTGCAAGTATTTCTGATGTCTGCCTGCACCTAACCTGCACTGGTCCATGTACTGGGTATATGCAGGTTAGTGCAGGTAAAATTGGAGCTGTGCAGGTATTTCTGATGTCTACCTGCACCTAACCTGCACTGGTCCATGTACTGGGTATATGCAGGTTAGTGCAGGTAAAATTGGGGCTGTGCAGGTATTTCTGATGTCTACCTGCACTGGTCCATGTACTGGGTTATATAGTGTGGTAGATGTATGTGGATTTGCTTCATTGACTGTTACCACCATGAAGTGTAAAAGAAATAATGTCAGTGGTTTCTGAACAGTTAATATTATTATGATCCATACTTCCTAAATTCTGAGTGGTACAGGTAAAACTTGTCTGGTGCAGGTAATTTTCAACGTTACCTGCACCAGTGCAGGTTATTTAGAAAAGCGTATTTTGAGCCCTATGATTGTATTCTGAAGAAATCTGATACTTGCTGTTTTACCGCACAAGCTCTACAACATGACAGCACACTGGAAGTACCATGTGACGGTCATGTGAATGCCTCGGGACTTTTCTATTTTTCATGTATTTATTTATTCGTTTTGGCTGAAGATACTGCCAAGGATGCCAAGCTAGCATGAGCCTATTATAAAGGGTGAACCTTGAGGCTAAGGCCACACCAAGTAAATGTTATGGATGACGTCCGCGCGCGCATTGATTTTGGCCTCTTCCTAGAAAAAAAAAAAGAAATTTCGCTTCCTGTAACTATGACCAAAGAGTCACGACAGTGCCGCAAATCGTCAGATTGACGTGAAACCCGTAACGCGAAGAAAGTGTCATCCTGTCAATAACAGAAAATTTTTCACTGTCCACTGTTCCACCTGATTTATTGCTGTTTTGATGATGAATAAAAGACTTCTCGCTTGTTACACTGTGTCACCTCATTCAATTTGTGTCCTAACTTGTGTCGTCTCTTAGTACATTTCTAATCTAGGTATCTTGTTTTTTAGGGCCCTTCTTGTTTTTTTTTCGCCCTCTCGCATTAGATTTAGGGTCTCCAAAGGACGTCATCCATAAAATTTACTTGGTGTGGCCTAATATAGGACTGGGATTTGCCAGGGCTCTGTCCAGGTGATTTGTAGTGAATCACCAACTCTGGACTGTACGATTGAGACCATTGCACACCAGGGCATGCACCTACCCTTTTTTGAAAGGTGTACTGGGTTTTTTAACGTGTGTGGGGTGTGGCTCTCCCCAAACATGGGATCTTCGTTTAACATGAAATAGCCGTTTCAGATTGTCAAGAATTCAAATTACAATTTTCCCTACGATAGTTGTGCCTTCTGCGCTCGACATAGTCATAAAACAAAATTGAGATGACAGAAAAAAATTAAGGCTGGCTTGCTAGACCACTGATGTGAACTTACAGGTATCTTCAAGTCTTACCCTAGTCTTTGGAATCTCATTCGAGTCAATAATTCATGCACAATAGTTTCCGTAAAACTTAATGTTGTAGGGAAAACATTTCAGAGGCCACCTTCATTGGCGAAACCGTGTGCAATTTCATGCGAGATAGTTTACAACGTGAGCACAATCATGTGACAGGCAGGCGAGGCCATGTGACAGTTGCGTGAATGACGGGGGAATTCTTTAGTTTATGACCCCGACTTCCGACCATAAACCAGCCAGCGGCAGTTACCCCCGCCTCAGGGCTAGAAATCACATTTTTTCTGTATACGGGCAGCTGCAGGGTTCTTACCAGAATTTTTCACAGCGTAAGGGTCAGGTACAGAAGGAAAACTTGTACAAGCCTTGCAGGCTTCTTTCCTCCTCCTGCACAGTTTTTTCCTTTGTTTTGCATATTATTTGTCGATAAATGTTAGTCTTTTTATTTGTGCAAATAAATAGCTGAAAAATGAAATAAACTTTCTGCCGTGCAAGCCAGGCATTGAGTCCCAAAGACATAACTATAGTAGGGGGTTAGGAATTCTATCTGAAAAATTTGATAAAAAGATGAGGGACAAATTTTGTAAAGTTAGCATACATGCTAGGTAGATTAAAGAAATTATTATAATTATTATACATTGGGTAGAAAATACCTGCACAGTTTTTTTTTCTAATTTTCCAAGATTTCATGACTAGATATAGTGACAGCACACTCAACTGATATCAACTACTTACTTTATGCCAGGGATAAATACAGGACAGGATAATACTCATATTCACCTGAGTGAAGTGAGGAAAGTGGTGTAAAGTGCCTTTCCCAAGGGCACAAGTTTGGTGGCATATTAGGACTTAACACAGGACCTCTTGGTTCTGAGTATCTGCAGTTCCAAATGTACCTGACAGGTACTAACCTGTCTATGCAGTACATGACTTGATATATTTCAAGCCCTACATTTGCACCAGTCCTGCATTATACATCATACCAGCACCTCTTGATATACTGCTCTCTTGGGTGGCCACTTTGTCAAGCTGCTTCTTTGAAGTTCTAGTTCTTTGGCAGAAGGAAAGGCATCTTAAATATTTCATTCTAGTTGGAATAGTGAAGAGAGATATTTTGAGGACAGGATATAGTAAATAACTGTCTGAGTTCACTATGCCAGGAATGCTTTATGTGTTTGGAACTTTTTTGTGTGTTCAATTCATTTTTTACTTTATTGCTGTGGGGATTGTGCCCTTTTTTTTGTTTTTTTTTCTTCCTTTGTGATCAGAATTGGTAAAAAGGTTTGTGTTAGCCCAATGGTCATTAATTTATGGAATAATCATAATGAAATAATTAAGGCAAATTAATTATTGTGAAATTAATTATGAAATAAACGATTATTATGAAATGAATAAGCCTGGGTATTGGTGTGCAAGCACATCTAACCCTCGGAAGATGAGGAACAACAGACGCTTAACTGGATAGTGAGTGAGTAAGGAAAGATGTGGATGTTAAGTTGAAAAATACCTTGAAATTTGTTTAATTTTATTACTAATAGAAATGATAAAGCAATCCTTCTAACTGCCCTTGATATAGCTGGGTACAAGTACAAGTCAGCATATTTTCACTTTTTAGGGTGTATGTATGTACAATGTGTTGGTCCACTACTGTTATTGGTGTCTTGCATATCTAACATCTTGTGAAGGTGTTCAGCCCTTGGTACTGAAGGGCCATCCAGGGATGTTTGTGTTGTAGATTGTACAGCATTGTATGATGCTGTAAATTCATTTATTTTGGGGATAAATTAGTTCCACTGTAGACTGGGAAAGGTGGTTTTCATGGGGTTTTAAGTTGGCTGTCAGGACAATTCTGTTAGTAGTACAGTTACTGTGTGATTGCATATTTTTGGTGTCATGAATTTGTATCAGAGTTGGAGAGGTCACCACATAAACTGGGAGAATAAAACCACTGAGAACATTTAAATATTTACAGTTAAATTTTACATAATTGCTGTTTATAACAGTTGACATTACATGTAGGAAAAACATCCATTTACTCTCATTTGGCACACACAAATGGCACACCAATTTGATCAATTGGTTCCCATCAGGTTGCCTCTTAATTTTTTTCCTATTGAAAAAAAGATTCTAGGTTCTGAATCAACTCCAAAATGCTCCTGATTCCTATAGTTGTTAATAAAAGTTTTTCCATCCATCAATGCAGTGGTTTTATTAAAAGTTCAAAATTCATTGTATGAATTACAACCTAGCCTATTATATATGTAGTAAGTATGTTGACTTCATGGCTCCTGTCATAACATTTTGAGGTATCATGGGGTGCCTTGTCCTTTCTTTATTCTGACCTGTCGCATCATATTTTTTTCTGAAAAGAGAACCAACAAATTAAACTGTTGTATACATCCTAACGTTGACTTCATAGCTCCTATCATAACATTTTGGGGTATCATGGGGTGCCTTGGCCTTTTTTTAGTCTGACCTGTCGCTTCATATTTTTCTGAAAAATCTGAGAACCAACAAATTAAACTGTTATGGCGTGTTATTATTCCATACAGTGAACAGGAGCAGAAGTTCACCCGTAATCTGCCTGTGTCAATCGGCTTACACTAATGCAGAACCAGTCGTGAAGTCTGGGGCATGACATAAGTCACCAGAACGTGTGGGGCAAAACTATCTCCGTTACACACAAGACATTCTCTTTTTACTACATTGCTGAAAAGTTTAACACAATTAGAGGTCACCAATTTAATCTTTTGGTTATTTAAAAGATTTGTTGGTTTGTGGGTTGTCAGATCGTCTGGAAAAACATTTTTTTTGTATTGTAGTCTGGTTCAAGCTATTTATAGGCAGTACACCAAGTCTAATTATTCAACCCTAACAGTTGAATTATTAGACAAAGTCCACACCAATGTAATTTGTGTATCGTAGCAATTGGGACTATATAACAGGATGCGTAGACCTTTTTCTTTTCACCGTCGCTTTTTTCTGAAAAAATCTGAGAACCAACAAATCAAATTGATGTGGCCTAAGAGTAAGATGAGATGAGACATAATGAGTTACAAATAAAACTGTGAACTGTAAAACTAAGATGGAAACAGAATTTTCATCTTGGTTTGACAGTTTTACCTCGTGAGGGTGACCTAGAGTTTAAAGGTCACACAGGTCACATGACTTGTATGACCTAGATGTTAAAGGTCACAGAGGTCATATGACTGAATAAGGTTGTTGTTCTAATAATCTAAATTATGAATATTTTTGTGTGTTTCAGGGTTACCGGTGGGGAACTGTTTGAAGACATAGTTGCTAGAGAGTACTATAGCGAAGCTGATGCCAGGTGAGAGAGACCTAACTTTTTTTTTCTTGATGTCAACCATATTATCTAACACAAATGCATGGTTGTAATTTCTGTTTTTACTTTGTAATATTTTGATGAATGCACTATGTAAATGTACTGAGAATATCAAACCTAACGTATTGTGTACATTGTACAACAAATCTGGTTAATACAATGACTTTGTATGTGATTTGTGTGTTTGTTTGTTTGTTTGTTGAAAGCTGCTACTGGCTTTGTGCCACAATTTTTGCTTTTAGCTTCTAGTTTACAAAATATGCTAAAATTGGTCCATTCCAAATCAACAAACTAAAACTGTTTGCCATATGGACCCAATATAATCCATCACATCTAGAGTATACAAAAAATATGTTTAAAAGTATGTTTAATAATTATTGTAATTTTTCCCTATGCCCCTCCAGCCACTGTATTCAGCAGATTCTAGAAGCTGTTCTACATTGCCATCAGAACGACATCGTGCACAGGGATTTAAAGGTAATGTCACACAAGCACAGAGTAACAGTTACAGCAAAAACTGTATTCTGTCCCTCAAAATTAAAATTAAGTTGTGAATGTATGTGTGTATGTGTGGATATAGGAGTTTTCTTTTACACCACCAAACTTGTCCTACCTTGTAACACTGGTCACCTCAATTTTGGAATGTCACTTTCCGAATTTCGAGACAGCTATGTTGAAACCCCTGATTTTCAACTTTGTTATTCCTGGATGTACTGTGAACTTTTGCATACCATTGGAAAGATCATGCTATCTTCAGTACCAGGTTGCTTTTTTATGGTCATAATGTATAAATTTATCAAGATATTTGACTTTAAAAATTGCAAGCCTGGTGGTCTCAAATACACACCGCCAGGCTCAACAGCTTAGCCTGGCAGTCCTAAACTTTAGCCCGCGGCCTGAGTTAGCCAGCCCACATCCAGACCGCATCCAATTAGCCTCATGAACACCCCATGAAAACCACTGAATTAATGAGAATTCACATCTTCACACCTGTGTAATTAACAAGTTTGTGATAAATTCATGAGAGGTCTGGGCTCAATGGCTAGCCCGCGGGCCTGAACAGGCCTGTCGGTCTGTGGACAGGCTGGGCTGATGATTAGGCCTTATGATAGAGGACCTTCAGACTTTAAAAACACCAAACAGAAAATGGGAAACAAAAATATGCTTCCAGATTGATGATGGTTTACACATAGTTTATCACTTCATATTAATAAACACCCATCACATTTTCAGCTAATTTTTCCAATATCAAAGCATTTAAAATAAGTGATTGCATATTATTGACAAGTATGATGTACTGGTATGAATGATCATGATAACTTTCAATTAGTTTCATGAATATTCATTTTGAAAATTTTCTGTTTGAGGAGGTGGATATGGCTCCTGTTGTGCTACCTGGGCTGATACCTGGGCGGGGTGTAACATTGCTAAAAAGATAGCATCATAAAAGACCCTTGTCTCAGCAAGAACACTTCATATTAGACCTGATTGGTTGTGGTGTTGGAAGCCAACTTTTGAGGACACTTTATGGTCACTTACAGTTTCAGTTTGGCAGGTATAGTCCAATCTGTCCTACTATGGCAACTCCCCTGCCAAAATCCCTTTGAAACATCATGGGGGTAGAAATTTTTTTTTTTTAAGAATGAAGACCTTCATTGCACATTTCTGCCACACTTGGCTAAGTACAGGTCACAACAAAACAAGATGAATGGACATGGTTAACAGATAAACAATAACTCCATGGAAACATTTATAATTAAAAGGAAAATATTTGGAGTTTTAGTGCCATAATCCTGCCATGTATAAGCCTCAGTCGATGTACACTGAAAACATAAAAAGCAAGGATCCTCAATTTGCAACATGAACTTGCTTTCAGTGCAAGGAGTTGTACAAATACAATGCTTTAGGAAATTATTGTTACATTTTCTTTTGTAATTATTCTGTTCCAGTGCACCTTTGTTATGCGGGTCATACCTCAGGTCACCTATTGTTCCAGGCATGCAAATGACCACTGTCCAATTATCAAATTAGAGAGTCTGGTCGGGCTACCCTGACATGGGTGACATGGTCTTTGTAGCTTGCACTGGGTAGCTCAATAGCCCGAAAAAATATCCTATCAGAAAATCTCATGACATTGAATGACAGTGTCAGATGGCCTGGGTTCACACGGTGAGAACCATGTCTTGGCCAAATCTTTCTATCCCACAACTAGTTTGTAGTATCATTATGATGATTAGATTAGATTTAGATTATTAACAAAAAATTAATGATGAGAATCTTTACAGGATTTGTAATAAGTCTAAACAAGGACATTATACACACTGTGTATAATGTCCTTGGTCTAAATTACAATTAATTGGGAGTGCTTGCCCAAGGCCTAGAGTCAATTCTATATTGCTATATCCACATTACAAATTGTAACCATTTCGAAATAAAAAACACCATGTTCTAGATAATTTCAAAAGTATAATTAAAAAAAAATAGAAAATTTTCTAATTGTTACAATATTTGTGAAACATCTCAAATAGATATGAAAAGAGCTGTTCATTCAGTTTGAATATTTCCCAAAAATTTAGGAACAGAACGTAAAATGCTTGTACAGCGCAGGATGTACATGTATAATAGCAGACCAGGTAGCCTGGGTGTAAGAAACAGGGGCGAGCTATAGCGCCTATAAACCCCCCACTGTTACATGGGTACCAGACTGCTGCCAGGCGAGCCTGGCCAGGCTAGCTCCTTGGCTCCTGGAGGGCCAACATTTGCCCAAGGAAATGTCACCATAGAGTGATAATAGACATCCCTCAATAAGCCTATGAATTACATTGTGAAGGCTTGTTATCCCCTAGACACAAAGAACACAGTTTCTTTAAAAATGGGTGACAAAAGGGGAGGGGAGGTGATTATGATAAAATTAACAAGTTCTAACTTCCAAGCAACAACTTGAAGTTAGTCTCCAGTCAGATCAATGTTAGACGTGTTTACAACTGGAGAAAGGGGAAGCAAAAACATTCATTGAGTTGACATACAAAAAATCAGATGATCATTGATCAATTACTAAGGTGACCTTGAGAGAATATTGATGTAATGTTGCAATTTTATAGAACAGGATTCTTCTTCAAGTGAATGAGTCTGAGGAACAAGTAATGGCATTATATTTAGTCTCTATGGCCGGCCAACTCCTCTGGCCAATGATGTTCCCCTTAGCCGATTGCTACTATTTATTCAGCCTGCAAAGGAGTCTGGTGGAGACTACATTATATTGGTGTGGCCTAACAGTTGTATATATTTATTACACAGTCATTCCTGCAAAAATTCCTGCGAGATTTCTAGGAAGGATTCTATCTGCAGGAATCTACAATGTCTTAGTAGGTTTTTCCAGAAATTTCCTGCAGGAAGAAAATTTTCAAAATGAATTTCCATGCATGTTATCATTCATACCTGTCCAATTATCAAATTAGAGAGTCTGGTCGGGCTACCCTGACATGGGTGACATGGTCTTTGTAGCTTGCACTGGGTAGCTCAATAGCCCGAAAAAATATCCTATCAGAAAATCTCATGACATTGAATGACAGTGTCAGATGGCAGTGGGTTCACAGGGTGAGAACCATGTCTTGGCCAAATCTTTCTATCCCACAACTAGTTTTTTAGTATTTATGATTAGATTAGATTAGATTTAGATTATTGACAAGAAATTAATGATGAGAATCCTAGTTTTATTTTTTAAGATAGTCGGACATCTTTTCAGGCTCCTACTGGGTGACCCAGTACAAGCTGCCCAGATAGGGGTTACTCTCCAAGTAGAGGTTTGGGTTTTGGGGGTATTTTTAGCGTGTTTTATACCCCCAAAACCCAAACCTAACAAATGCTACAGATATGTCTCTGCAGATCTGTTCCCAGCCCACCAAAGCTAACCCTAGGAGGAGCGTGCGTACCCTGGGTTGACAGTGCAAAAGGCCTTGGCTTCATCCTCGACAAGAACTTAACCCTCCAAGAACAAGTCACTTCTATGGTCACAAAAGCCTCTCGCAGACTTCATTATCTGAGGCTACTCTCTAAACAAGGAACCAGTGTTGCAGACTTGGTCTTGGTATACCTGGCACTTGTGCGTCCTGTACTAGAGTATGGACATGTCCTACTTGTCGGATGTAGCAAGGAACAGGAGCGTGCGATGGAGCGGGTCCAACGGCGAGCCCTCCGCATCATCAGCCGAGCTGGCAGGCGTGACGTTCCCGAACTACCCACCCTGCAGTCGAGGCGCGAGGATGCCGCTGTGAAACTCTTTAGACAGATGCTCCAGGAGAACCACCCCCTACACGACCTCGTCCCTGTCTCTAGAGCTAACGCCACTGGACGCTCTCTTAGGAACAAGAACACTATATCCATCCCCCCAGCCAGAACAAAAAGACTCCAGAACTCGTTCCTACATCAGTCTATCAGACTAAACAACCAGACTGTGTAAACGTGTCATATCTGGGATGCCCTGTTGATTTAATGTATATATTTTAATAGTATGTATATATGTGTAATATATGTTATGTACCCTATCTTGCTGTTATTGCTGTAAATACCAATGCCATTCAGGCAACACATTTTTTGTATGTCTGTAACGTTGGTATGAAATAAAGAATTGAATTGAATTGAAAAACCTCTGCTTGGAGAGTAGATAGGGGTACTGTAATTCGACGTGTAACTCAACAATAGTCCAACTTGATAATTGGACAGTGGCATTTGCATGTCAAGAACAATAGCTAGACTTAGTTTCATCCCGCATAACAATTGTTCCTTGATCAGAATAATTACCTGAGAACTGTTGAACCATGGTTGAACAGAAATGGACTGAGGATTTTATAACTACATTGCTTTGAAAGCAGGTTTAAGTTGCAATACATGTATTAAGGCTTCTTGCTTAATATACTAGGCTAATATACTAGAATTTTGTCCGGCAAAACTGTCTGTAACATAATTTCCCCAATGTTTCAACTGAACTGAACTGAACTTCAATGACAGTCAGGATGCTCATGAGAAAAAATTGTTTCATTTTCTACCCCTAGCTGGTACAGAACGTGTTTGTAAGCTCTTCTTTCTTTTTTGTGGCCTAGTTGAAAGATCATGCGAAGCTGAGTGAAATTGAGTGAGTGAGTGAGGTTGAAAGCGGCAAATATGTACAAGACTGTTAACAGATGGGTGTGGATTATGCTCTCCTTTCTTATTTTCTGCTCTGAGAATGAAGTTTTACACATCACTTGGTTTAGACCGCGGGCTAAGATGTAGTCCGTGAGGTCTGAATCCTTACTCCACCAGGCTGAAATTGGCACAGACAGTCTGCAAACATCAATCAATTCACACCTTCCATGCCATTGTTTTGGGACGTTTGCACCTCTTTGACCAGAATTTTCAGACCGCGGGCTGAAGTTAGCCTGATGGTCTGAATGGTTTTTGAGTAAATCAGCCCGCGGTCTGGGGATCTAGACCTGTAGTCTAGTGCCTTTAGACCGAAGGTCCTGTAATTAAAACTTGCGGGCTAGTTGTTAGGCCTGACGGGCTGTTAGAAAAGACCACTGGTCTGCTTGTATTTATTATTAATGATATCTTAAGTTATGAACACTGCAGAACAATAATTTTCATATCACTGTGCTCATTACACCAAGAGCTACACACTGATGTGAAACTTGAATGTTGAAAATCAATTTTTACTTGAGTTTCCAAATGCCTTGTGACTTTCCAAAATTGATGCGACCAGTGTTTTGTATTATGTTTTGTTGTGTAAAAAAAAAAAACTTCTATATCCTATACTCTACCAACCTGATGAAACTATTTTGGGAAATTCATTCTTGTACAGTTTCGTACAAGCAAAACTTAGCATGTTGTTACAAAAAATGTAATTTACTTGAACTGTTGTTAAAATGTTTGTTTACTTCCTTACTTAACCCTCACACTGCCGAGACTGTGCCTTGCCAGGACCGAGAGCTGAGCTCCAGCCATGCCACGAACTGTGTGTAAACACCACAAATTAAACCATTTCCATTTCTCACATAACATGCCCGTAGCCAGGGGGGGTTCACGGGGTTCGGAAGAACCCCCCCCACACACACACATGCTCAAAAGGTCCACTTTTTATCGAAAGGTCCAAAAGATTTTTCTTTAAAGGTGGACTGATTTGTATCACCAGCGGGACTGGAATCCTATTCGTCTCTGATTTTTCTTTTTAAATCCTCTCAAAAATGCAGGAAATGTCATTTCAGAAGGTTAAATTTTCAAAATTTTCGCCGCTCGCTGGTCCATCAAACAGTAGGAAGAACACCCCCAACTAAAATCCTGGCTATGGGCATGCATAATATCTCTGCATGGGCATCATACGAGATGCACTACTCATGGTACAGATGAGCTCCCGGGCATGTTCTAGAGGGTTGTTTACACCGTGTTCGGTTAGTTGATTACTGTTGGGGTGGTCTTTTTCTACACAGCAATATGTGATAATTATGAATGTCTGCAGTCACTTAACATGGCATGCTGCCTGCATGTGTATGCACTAAGTCTTATGTATTTTACTGTGAACAAACTAGTTACTTGTATGTACATACTAGGAAATGCTTACAGTAATGACACACGGTGATATTAACACCTCTTTCAGATTTATGCAAGAGAATTGCTTTAACTTATATTTTAATGTAACTTTTTCCTTTATAAGAAGTTGAATTCAAGACACCCCTGCAGCCAGCAAGCAACCAAACCGTGTGTATAACAACCCTCTTACGTGTCGTATCCCCCTCCCCTTCTTTTTGTAACACTTTATTTATAGATGTTCAACAGGAGTGAATATTCCTCTAAATTATAGTTGTTTTGCAGAGTAACGGGCATCAAACTTCTGAATGCCTGTTAGTTCCCTATTATACATGTACCATACCGTAGTAGGACATGGAACCTATTTTTTAAGCAAATATTCAAAATGATAGTCATCTCTCTATTAAGGGTTCCAAGACTAGAAGTGGATAGACACAGGCTAGCATTGCATAATATCTTCTATACAAAAAGTTTTTACGTTTTCGTCAGTCCCCCGAAATTGGTACCCCACTTGATCTGTTCACCAATCTATTTGGACAGAATTCAAGTACAATCAGACTCCTGTTCTGTGAATCGCAGTAGTTAATGGTTTGATGAACAAAGAGGCATGTTCTTCACGCACTTGTAGAGTGAGTCATGCCTAGAATCGCGATAAGTCAAGTGGCAAGTGGGAAGGGCAGTCAGTCTAATCTTGATACCACTGCACAAAGATTTGGACAAAGTCCAAACAGTATCAGGACATGCACAGGCCTGCCTCAAAATTAGCTGCGTTGCCTCCAGAAATAACAGGAAAGTTGTTAATAGTACACTTGAGAAATAATTCATGCCTCAAGTTTAAATTGATCACGTTGTAATGTCTGATATATGTATGCTGCTCGAAAAAGGTTTGGACTGAATTCAGAAATAACAGAAATGTTGTTAGTAGTACACTTGAGAAATAGTTTACGCCTCAAGTTTAAATTGATCACGTTGTAATGTCTGATATATATATATATATATGTGCTGCTCGAAAAAGGTTTGGACTGAATTCAGAAATAGCAGAAATGTTGCTAGTAGTACACTTGAGAAATAGTTTATGCCTCAAGTTTAAATTGATCACGTTGTAATGTCTGATACATATATGCTGCTCCAAAAAGGTTTGGACTTAATCCAAGCACGTTAGGGCAGATCTCTTCCGCCATGCTTTCAGAGACTGATCCGGTAATGAACAAGAACTAATTTTATTCACGCGCTTGTGGTCTGACTCGTTCTGTAAGTCGTGATTCGTCTTGTTGCATTAGTTAGCAGCCGTATCTGTCTGATTCTCAAGAAGATCTGGACCAAATCCAAATCAGGAAGACTCTTTCACCATCCAAGTTGCCGAATCGCTGACTTATAATGAACAAATTTTATTCACGGACTTGGGTTGGCTTTGGTCCCCAGCCTTATCTTTACTCATGGAAAAGTTTTTGACCACATCCAACTTATACTATCAGTGTACATGTAGATGCTTGTTACCAAGAAAGAAGCTAAAAAACTGACCTACCAAACTCTTGTTCATAATTTCTCTTCACCTGAAGTTGTTATCTGTTGTTAAGCATTACCACCAGCCCCACCCAAAAAAAAATATAACTCTCACTTAATCAGTAACTGCAAGCCTTAGGGATCTGGGGATAGTCAGTCATTCTTGTATGCTGGACTGCTGTCTTTCTTGACCAATGTTGCTGAGCCACACTAGCCACCTTCCCTTGTAGGAAAATAAGCTTGGGACAAAACATGCTGTTGCCACGAAGCTTGTGAAGTGATGTTAGCTGGATTGTCATTACCAGTCCTTAATATAACTGAGCGATACTGGGGGGGGGGGGTCAATCTCCTCAGCCTTCCCTTGTAGGATACTAGGAACCCCCCCAACATAATTCACACTCACTCTCGAGCTCCCCCATAGCTTAGTCAGCCGTCACAGCAGCATGATGTTTGGCAAAGGTTTCCACTGCTGATGATCTTCTGCCATTCTGGCCATCTGGTTGTGGGCTGTTTGACCGGTCCACTCCTTTAAGTCCGTGGCCGTCCCCGTGGCCGTGCGCCTTCCGCCTTTCCCTGAAGTTTTGTGTGTGAGAGTGTGCCTTTGGCCCTAGACACACGCCCAAACCACTGTTACAGTAGTTTTTCTTCTTAACAATAATAATCTTGGGACAAAAACATGTTATTTCCACCTTCTAGAGTGATCGCCTTATATAAGCTTCCCTTGTAGGAACCCCCAAAAATAAGCTTGCGACAAAAACATGATGCTCTTCCCACCTTGTGGAGACTAGTCTGTGATGTTTACACCAAGTCCGTGAGGGACAAAAACATGCTACTGCCACCTTCTAGAGTGATCGCCTTATATAAGCTTCCCTTGTAGGGACCCCCAAAAATAAGCTTAGGATAGAAACATGCTCTTCCCGCCTTGTGGAGACTAGTCTGTGATGTTTACACCAAGTCCGTGAGCTTGGCGGCAGCTTTGCTCTCCTTCCTGACAGGGAGCAGATTCTCAGACCCCCAACCGGACGTACCAACGTCCGAAAATGGGTGGCTCTTCTTTAAGAGATGTGCCTCTGTTCGTCTCTTAGCCTGAGAACCTGTTACTTGCCAGTAAGCAGAAGGGAGCTGCAGTGAAGCTTGCAGATTTCGGTCTTGCCATCGAAGTGAACGGTGATCAGCAGGCATGGTATGGTGAGTATGCGACCGGCTCGGACATACTTTCTATGGTGCTGTTTTATACAATTATACAGTATAAAGCAGCTACATTTGTATACTAACAGGCTTCAATGTAGATATTAGTAAGAGGTAGGAATCAATCTAACTTTATCTCCAACACAGAAAATCCATGCAAATTGAAAAAAAAATTTAGGCCTTCCTCGCACAGACTGACCCACTAGTTGGGTCATGTGACTTTCCAGTGATGGGCCAAATTGGCTGGAAGTTTGCACCTTGTGTTTATAACATGACTGATGGGCCTTGATGTACAATCTATATGGCTTCTATCTTTCACCAGTACTAGTAGTGAGTGTTTGAATTTTTGTAATTCGGTGCCCTAGAAGTCGGTGTTTGCATTTTTTGTGTTGGAGACAGAGTACATGTGTAAGTTTGGTTATGTCATTTTAGATAATGGATATATGAGCCTTTGTGCTAGGTGGTAAGAAGTAGTGAGTGCACTGACAAAAATATGCAATAAACGACAAATTGAATGTTTCCCTACAATCATCAGACAAGGTAAATGTGGCCCCACAGTACACAGCTGCCTGTATATGCTGACTTTCACATGGGTCGTATGACAAATTACCCTTGTAAAAGTCAACACTTAAAACAGAGCTTTCTACTGCAGGGTCATGTATACCATACTGGCAATGATTGTCTTGGCTCTAGAAAGGACTGCGAAAAATATGTTTTAGTTATCAGGGCTCAAAATACCACCTGCACATGCAGCTTAGTGCCTGCCAGGTACATTTGTAATTGTACAGTTGAGCAGGTACTTCTGATGTCTACCTGCACTGATCCCTGAACTGGGATTTTTTTGCTACAAATGTAGGCATATGTAGGTTTTTATTATGTGGGTTATTTTCAATCTTACCTGCCCCAGTTGAGAAAAAAAGCATTTCAAGCCCAGTTATTATTAAGATATAATCAAAATTAATGTTCAAGAAAGGTGAACAGGACTAAAATACACCTCAAATAGTAAAAAAATGTTTGTAGAATTCACTGGTATTGCCAATTTTTTTCTCCAAAAGACTTTACCAAAAACGGAATTGGGTCTTCTTTACATCCTCACCACAAAAAAGATAAACTTGCGGTGAAAATACATGTAAACTTACAGTCAGTACCATGTTTGTCAGCCTGATAGTCCCATTGAAAGGTTTGCCGAACGCAGTGAGATCAAACCATGGTAATTTTGGTCAAATCTGGACCATTGACAGAGAAAAGTAATCACCACAGTGTCTTCTAGTAGGGCCACAACAAGTAAATTTTATGGATGACATCCTCCGCCGACTCCAAATCTAATGCGACCGGGCGAAAAAAAACAAGGCCGGCGGAAAAAAACAAGGTTCCTACATTTTAAAATGTTGATTCAATCATTGTACAATTGGTTTTTATTCAATGCAAACATTATTAAATACACAGCCAGCATCACATATCACTGCATCAACGTAAGAAACAAAACATTAAATCAGAGCCTTTTCTTGTCTCCTCTCTTCAGTTATCTGCCTCCTGGCATGGCAACAGACATCTTTGCCCATTTTCGGCATGTTGACCGCTGTTGATCAGAGGGCAACAAAATTTCTTGTTTTATTTTTCAAAATCAGGCGAAAATTAATGCGCGCGCGGATGTCATCCATAAAAATTACTTGCTGTGGCCTAGGAAATGTTTGCTCAGATAACGCAGACTTACTGACATTTTGATGAACGGAAATTGCTGTTGAAATCACCTTCACCTTTGGTTTGTAAATGCAGTTGAATGAATGCCGGAATACATTTTTGTGTGCGTAGAAGCCTCAAATGGGTGTGTGGTTTTTAGATTGTGTCTGTCCTTGGATTGAAGTTTTTTTAACAACATTTTGATGAGAATAAATTGCTAAATGAAACTGTCACCTCCAAATATGATACATTTTGCATTCAAAGGAGCCTCAATTGTTTCCAAATGCAGTTGAATGAATGCAGGAATACCTTTTTGTGTGCATAGAAGCCTCAAATGGGTGTGTGGTTTTTAGATTGTGTCCGTCCTTGGATTGAAGTTTTTTTTAACAACGATTCGATGGACAGAAATTGCTGCCAAAGTCACATTTTTGGATGCAGGGAATCCCCAAACAACAGAATTCAGAATGCTTATGTCTAACAACAAATTTTGATGAATAGAAATAGCTCACTGAAACAACCTTCACCTATAAATGAACACTGAAATACATTTTTGTGTGCGTATACGTAGAAGCCTAAAATGGGTGTGGTTTTCAGAGAATGACCGTCCTTGGATTGGAGTTTTTTAACAACAATTTGATGGACAGAAATTGATGTCAAAATCACTTTCAGGACCTAAGTCCTTAAGATGTGCAAACAACATGATGATACATTTTTGTATGCGTAGAAGCCTCAAATGGGTGTGTGGTTTTTAGATTGTGTCTGTCCTTGGATTTAAGTTTTTTTAACAACGATTTGATGAACAGAAATTGCTGTCCTAAGTCCTTGAAATGTAGAATTACAAACAACAACTTAGATACATTTTTGGATGATACAGGGAAGCCCTAAATAACAGTACTAGTGTCTTTCAGAATCTTTATGTCTAACAACAATTTTTTATGAATAGAAATAGCTCAATGAAACAACCTTCACCTATAAATGAACACCGAAATACATTTTTGTGTGCGTATACGTAGAAGCCTAAAATGGGTGTGGTTTTCAGAGAATGACCATCCTTGGATTGGAGTTTTTTTAACAACGATTCGATGAACAGAAATTGCTGACAAAATCACCTTTAGATTCTAAGTCCTTGAAATGTGCAAACAACAAGATATATCGTTGGATGATGCAGGGAAGCCCCAAATAACAGTACTGGTGTCTTTCAGAATCCTTACCGGTATCTCTAACAAAAAATTGTGATGAATAAGAATTGCTCAATGAAACAACCTTCACCTAGAAAGATGATACATTTTGCATACAAATGAGCACCGATTGCCAAGTATCCGCCTATCAGATTGAATATGTCTATTGTCATGTCTTACAGATAGTGCCTGCTGAATCGGATCGTTAGTTGCAGGTTTGACATTAAGACTTTCTGGATCGCGCGTCGCATCAGTCTGAGATGCAGACGTTCCTTATCTGTCACCAGGCAGACTGTCTGGCCTGCCTCCAAAACAAGAAGACATCGGAAGGCCACACCAATTTGATTTGTTGGTTCTCAGATTTTGTCAGAAAAAATATGAATCAACAGGGCAAGAAAAATGATAAAAATAAAAATGGGTCTAGGCATCCTCTTATGGCCCCAAATGCTACGATAGGAGACATGGAGTCAAGACTGGCTTGCCTCCAAAACAAGAAGACATCAGAAGGCCACACCAACTTGATTTGTTGGTTCTCGGATTTTTTCAGAAAAAATATGAAGCGACAGCAAAAAAAGAAAAAAAACAGGTCTAGGCATCCTCTTATACGATAAGAGCCATGGAGTCAACACAAAAGGCTGGGTTGATATTGAAGCAATGAATTTTTAACTTTTAATCAAACCACTGCATTGATAGATGGAAAAACTGTAAGAACTAGGAGGAAAAGGACTTTCCTCAACTTTTGAGGGCAAAATATGAGCATTTTTGAGTTGATTCAGAACCAGAATCTTTTCCTTTTTTTTTTTGCAAATCAGAAAAAAATGAAGAGGTGAATCCGAGAATCAACAAATTAAATTGGAATGGCCGAATCATGATTATCTCTTACTCGTAGCAAGCCATGTCACCGTGTCAGATGCACAGGAAGAATTAATGATCATGGTTGAAGTTTCTTGTCTGCACAGAAAGTAGCTGGGCTAGTCATCCATGTGTAGGCATTTGATTTGTTGGTTTTATGCGATAAGTGATAATATAAATGGCAAAACATAACATTATGAAAGCAAAACCAGGTGTAAATTCAGAGTTTTGGTCTTGTTCTTTCTTGCCAAAAGAAGTCCTTTCTTGGAGCCAAGACAATTGAAAAGCCAAAATTTTAATGTCCGTTGTACATGTATATTTGCAAAGTGTTCATAAATGCAGTTAGGGAATTGTTGGAGAGCATCCAATTTGAAAGCTTAACACAATTAATAATATTGTTACAGTAGATTACACTAGAAACTATGACTCATAAACTGTACTTAATGTATAGATGAAATTAGGGAAAATCAGTTTTGATTCAGGTAAGTACACTATAAGTTGGCACTTAAAACTGAATTTTGAATCTGAAAAGGATGTTACATGTATGTTATTATGTAGTAATTGCACCAAAAAAAAAACAGGCACTGTCTGACACGTTTGTGTGTGCAGGTTTTGCAGGCACCCCTGGCTATCTGTCCCCAGAAGTCCTGCGGAAGGACCCCTATGGCAAGCCAGTCGACATGTGGGCATGCGGTAAGTTGACGTTCCAGAAACCTAAGGAATCATTTCAGAATCTCAGCATGCTTGGGCTATAGCTAGAGAAAGATAATATCGTCCAAATAACAGGATTTAAACAGGATTGTTGTCACGCTGAATTAGCATAATTTTTACAGAATTAAAGTAATAAGGCTGATGGTAAAAATGGTTAACGTTGATGCACTTATACAGGCACTGCCTCGGTAGCTGTGAACATACTAGGAAACTCACCAATGTTAGAAACCCTAATTTTGCATAACATAATTCTGATAACTTGTCATGTTGACTCTATCTTATTGATTGTATACCTACGTGTAACGATTCTATTTTCTCCCAGGGTTGACCCTTAACAATAGTCCACGACAAGTTGGGTATCCCTGGTTGTTGTAAGCCAAACTAATAAATAAGGCTGATGTTTCCCCCCATGTTCAGGTGTAATTCTGTACATCTTGCTGGTGGGGTACCCTCCGTTTTGGGACGAGGATCAGCACAAGCTGTACTCCCAGATCAAGGCTGGAGCATACGACGTAAGTGCTAAAGTGTGCCTGCAAGTCTCGACAACAGTGGCGCTCAAAGTAAAAAGTTGAACTTTATTCCAACACAAGGGTTACACAGAGATCAAATTTTCAGTGACCACTGTCGCCTTCATCCGGATAATGAATGACCAATCACTTCAAAACATAACCTTGTGAGAGTTACGGTTACGGACACGTGACCTTATTCACACAAGACTTAACAGACTTAACACACTTTCCTCACTCCACCCAGGTGTAAAATGGCTGCCTGACTTCAGTAGGGGTGGGAAAAGGCTGTTTTGCTGACTTCTGCCTGCAATATGAACTTTCTCCATGTCACATTATCACGACATGGAATCCAATGCACTCTTGAATGTGACTGTCTGTACCTTTCCTTTCTGCTTTGTGACACAATGACAAGGATGCTGTTACAAACATAACATGGAGAAAAAGATGTGGTTGTGTTGAAGAGAAACTATGATGCTTTGATCTACCAACTTTATGATTAAGTTGTTTGAGATCACCAAAAAGCAGTTACTCAAGCAACTGGATATGATTTTGAGTAACTGCTTTTCACCTTCGCCGAGAAGGTTATGTTGTCAGGGGCGTTCGTGTGTCTGTGTGTGTGTTTGCACACAGACACTATTTGCATAATTTAATGTATACTTTCTTAGAAATAAGAAAGTCATTTGGCGAAGGTATCGTAAGAGATCGTGGAACTCTAGTTGGCGTATCTTATTTCCTGGATGTCTAACCTTCACCCACATAGTTTGAGATCACTTTTCACTTTTTCTGCTTTTTTTCTCTTTCTCCAGTACCCCTCCCCTGAGTGGGACACCGTCACCCCCGAGGCTAAGAACCTGATCAACAGCATGTTGAACCTGAACCCAGCCAAGCGCATCACCGCCGAGCAAGCCCTCAGGCACCCCTGGATATGTGTAAGTCATACATTCACTCTCTCTCTCTTCTCAATGCTCTTTTTATTCTATTAAGATATCTCTATATCTTAATAGATATCCTTAAGCCTTATATAATCTACAAGGTTCAGATTACACAATATAAAGACAGACTCAGTTGTTCTTCCATCCGTCAATGGGACAATGACCACTTTGGCAGCCATCAGACTACATGGTAAACAAACACACATAATTAAACCAAATGAAAACATACAATAAGCAGCATTTTTTTTTTCAAGAATTTTATTCAAGAAATATGAAACAATTCAAATACAAAGAAACATGGGAAACAATAAACTACCTAAAAACCAAAGACACGTTCAGTCATGGTTGCAAGAACCAAGAATAAGCATTATGTACAAATCCATCTTCATCTGTTTATTCTTGTAATTCTTCACATGAAAAGGAGAAGGTAATTCTTCACATGAAAAGGAGAAGGAATTTGGTATCAAGTCCAATTTATGTATCTTAAAGTTTATCCCAGAAACTAAGGATGCTCTTAAGGAAAAGGAAACAGAGAAAGTAGAAAGACTGAATGCAATTGTTTTAGAATGTTTAGTATATAATACCCACAACTCCAGCAACAGAGCACATTAAATGATGATGATTGCACAAAGTATGAACAATGCCTCCTGGTGACCGCTTTACCAACTGCAGCCAAACCTGCACCACTCAAACCATTTCGAAGCTCATTTACATGCAAAGCAGGAACAACATATTCCCACAGAGAACTAAAAGTGCCACTTCTGACACTGTATCCAACCATATTCAATTACCTGGAAATAAATTATTCATTTCCATCTTTTTTGTTGTCAACTCGGCACCTCTGACAACCACCTTATGTCTTACTCTAACACAATGCATGTCTTCCGAGAAGAAATACACACCTTGAATGGACAGGCAAACGTTCTATTCCCTTGGTTGGGATAACAAAAGGCAGTTACTCTTGGCAGAATCCTGCCAGGTTGCCACTTCGCTCCAATAACAGTATTATTCACTCAGTTTCCACGGTTGACTGCACGCTGTGAATGTTAAACCTTCCCTGGGCTGGTTGCTGCTAGGCCTAGGGAAACAAATAGTGTGTTTCCTGTTTCCCGACCGACCCTAGAAAAAACTGCTTTCCCTAGCCTAGCCTTTTTTGGGTGGATGCCTGAAAGGGACAGAAATTTTTCAAGCCGATCATCCTTTTCTAGCTCCATGATCTGACACCTAGGTGACAAAACATTGTACACTCGGTTTTCAAACGTTGACATTGACGATATAAGTGTCCTTATGCAAAGTTTTACATTCAATTTGTTAAACTGTATTGTATAATTTGATCACTACTATAGAGAGATTGCCAAAGTCTAATAAAAAAAAAAGATAATCTCTTCCTGCTGATCCTAGTTTTTTCAAGACTGAAACAGGAAACACAACATTTTTTTCCCAGGCCTTACTGTTATTCTTTCCTATCTTTCTGAACGCCCGGCTTGTTTATGTGTCCATTATATCCATCAGAACTGCCTTGTGGTGAGAGGTTCGTTTGGCAAAGGCGTTTATGCCGTTAAACGACCTGCTTCGTACATTCATCCCAAACTAGGCTATCAAGTTTCATCCGACTGTCGGGTTAATGTAAATGAATGGTGCATTAACGAGTTTGTTTCTGACTGGCACCAAGGTCAGATTGGGGCATAGGTTACACAGATACATGTATGCCCTGTTTAGGTGAACTCATGCGAATTGTAGTGTGTTTTGGTTGGTTGTTTGAACCATTGTTTATTCATGGCCTTCAGGCCAGTTTTCCTTGAGGTCATGAGGGAAGAGGTAAGGGTCAGACAATATCTATAAGAAAAAGTTTACATCATTTAAAGTCAGATAAGTCTACACAGTCGCATATTTTTTTCTACACATTCATGGTACAATATACATAGACAAGTATTACATAAGAGTGAGAGTTCGTGTGAGTTCGTTTTGATCATTCCTTCTTGGTCAATTTTTGGATTATCATCATGATAGAACTGACCATGAACAAGGATCTAAGACCAAAAATTGCTTTTTCATCAGTTCCCTTAACAACAGTTACTGTTATTATTTTGTAAGACCTTTTGCAACAAGCAGATGTTCATCATACAGGATTTGCATCAATGTCATGTTGTTGTTGCCACAAATTAAGCCAGTCTCAGCCACAGTAATGACATGAGTGGCGGTCCTGTGATTTGTTTACTGGTTTCCATGGTAACATAATGACCAAAGCGTCAGTCTTAGCGAGTCAGACTGTTTGATATAGTCACAGTTACTACTAGGGAGGTATGTTTTAGAGGAATACGGTAACCGTTTTATACATATTTCTTTGTTACTACCCAAGTATGTATGCACAAACTTATTAATCTTACATATATGATATTCATAATGGTGCTCCAAAAACAAATACATTTCTTTTGTTTACTACTTTGGCTACAAATTGCAATGATAAAAATGTTTAATCAGAAATACAGTCTTACTAGCTATATGGGACTCAGAGCAAATTTTTAGGAGCACAGGTATAGCTAACAAGGCTGGATTTTGGGCTAAAAAATGTTTCTTTATTTTGACGAATATTTTAAACAGTACAATGTACATGTACATACAACAGAAGTTAGCTTTAAAGTTTCTTAAATATAGAAAAATCAGAGATCATATTTAAAATCAATCAATCAATCAATCTTTATTCATTAAGGAACTCGCGGGCAACACATGTGCACCCGAATTACGTCCTTATTACACAAGTCACATTAAAAACATTTACATTATAAAACGAATCATCACATAGGTAAAATCTCAATATTAAAAACATCACAAATAACATGTCACAGTTAACATATGCTGTACATGGCGCGATTACCAGATGTCCAATTACTAAGTGCTAATTGTCTTGTTGTAAAGACGAATTGCGCAATGGAGGAAAGAATTTCTTAGTCTCTCAGTCCGGGCCCTTGGTACACTGATAGTGCTAGAGTTTCTAAGTTAAAAGGAAATAAAACAACAGTAAGCTGGAGACCTGAAATGTCGAGAAGTCATTAACTTTTAAATTAAATCTCCACGACTCCAGGTCCACCTTATGTGTTTTTGAGATTACATTTGCCGTTACCATGGAAATGGTTTGTTTCCTCCTCAGGCATATCTTTGATGTCCCACTGTAACCATGGTGATGATATTCTGATATCTAAAGAATCTTTGCAAGCATACGTCTGAAACATGTGAATACACTTACCATCAACGTGTACGTCATGTATGTCATAGACATGTGCATATACATGTGATGTTCAGTTGAGCAGAAAACGTTTTACTGCACATATATTTGGAAGACGTGGATAAAAAAATCTTTTTGTATACCGGTACAGTCAAAATTGGCCAAGAAAACCTCTCGGACCAAGAAAATCTGGTCTATATTATTGTAGACCACTATAGGCAAGGTTCTTAATGCTTCTGACTATGGAAAAAATTGACTAAGGGACCATCGAAAAGCGTTCACATTGGCCAGGTGGTCCTTAAGTACATGTACATGTTTAATGCATGACATCCATCTATATGTACAAATCTACACATCCTTTCATTAGTATCGGTCCTATCTCTGAATCTTGTGGCTCGATTTTTAACGTTTCTGTTTTTCTCTCCGTATCCATAGCAACGAGAGCGCGTGGCGTCCCAGATCCACCGCCAGGAGACCGTGGACTGCCTGAAGAAGTTCAACGCTCGCAGGAAGCTGAAGGTTTGTTTGTTTGTTTGTTTATTTTTTATTTATTAATCTTACAAACATATGGGTAGTCCCTTCAGTCGTTGAGGCTGATTTCCAAGGGAGCCCATGGAAACATGATACAAGAAAATACTGGAAAATAATATATATAACAGAAAATAATAATAATTTGTTTGTTTGTTTGTTTGTTCTTGTTCCAACAATGCCCATCTGCCGAGAAATGGGCAATAACTGGTACATGTATGTTGGGGGAAAGTCATGCCTTCTTCTTCTTCCAACAATGCCCATCTACTGAAAAATTTGCAATAACTGACATGTTGGGGGAAAGTTCTTTAAAGTGCCTTTGCCAAGGGCACAACATCGGGGCATGTGGGTGGAATCGAACCCAGGACCCATGGGTTCCAGGCCGAATGCCCTACCCTTACGCCACACGACGCCACTGTTTGTGTGATAACTTGTTGATATATATTTGGGACAGGGAGGATCATCCTTTACCTTCTATGCATTGTACATAACCACCCCTCAGCATAGCACACCAGCTTCGCAGGCACATGGTGTGGCAGCAGCTGGCTATGTTACATCAAAGGACCTGTTACACCTAATCTTTGCATATCTACCTGTAAACAGTGTTTAAAGCTGTCTTGTGATGATGCCCCTACTGTACTTGGTGGCAGAAAGTTCCACTCTACGATAGTTCTAGAGATTCTAAACATCTTAATTCTTGGTTGATAGCTCTGGTACTTGAAGGCATCACTATTTCTTTTTCTTTTCTGTAGTGTCTCCTCACTTTTGTATCTACAGTACATGTGAGTCAAAAATGTCAGTCAACTGTAGCAGTTGCCTCCCTGAAATTGCCTTAAGGACAGATATTCCAAAGAACCCTTTTCAAGAAATGAGCCACTAAATATATAGAAACCTCTTGACTCCAGACTTCCCCTTGATTCCATTTCAATTCTTGGTTGATAACTCCAGTACTTAAAGGCATGACTATTTCTTGTTCTTTTCTGTAGTGTTCCATCATGCACCAGTTTTAATTCTTGACCCTAGTTCCCACATTTTGAACGGAAATTTCGCTGGTAGACTACGCTTAATTTAAGGACAGATATTCCAAAGAACCCCTTTGAAGAAAGGAGCCACTATATATATAGAAACCTCTTGACGCCAGATTTCCCCCTGTTCCTAATGCCCTTTAGGATGTCAGGACCCCAGCAGATATTCCTGTACACAAGCGTATGTCTCAGAAATTTGTTTCTGCCGTGAAAGGAGTACGTAACAGATTAATGATGTCAGGAACTTTTGGAACAACAGCTTGCCGTTTGCCCTGGACGCCAGCAAATGTCAGACCCCCTCGCTGTAAATATCAGCCTCCCCTCGGACGACCTTTCGCAGGGTTCACATTTGGCAGAACTGAAAAGAGCAAGTAAACAAAATTACCGCCATTTGACCCGAACCGATGTGAGGTCACGTTGTGTGTTCAGTGTTTCTATGGCAATAGTATAAATACCAAATCAGTTTGAGCTATTTAAAGCAGTACATACAACATGTAACGTTACCTTTGGAAAAAAATTCAAACTTTGGTATCTTTGAAATACCTTTAAGTTTTTAACCTTAAACTTACTTAAGAGTGTGCTGATTCTGGTAATTTTAGGTCTATATGTACACTGTAATTAATCACCCTGTCATGGCAATAGTATAAATACCAAATCGATTTGAGGTATTTTTAAAAAACCAGTACATGCAACACATACATAATTGTACCTTTGGAAAAATTCAAACTTTGGTATCTTTGAAATACCTAAAAGCTTTCAGTAACTTAAAGTATGCAGAATCTGATGATTTTAGATCTACATGTATAACATAGTCATGCAATCACCCTTGCCTTCAGTAAATATTGCACTTAGTCCTGTAGATAGACATGCTCTTCAGTAGACATGAGTTCCACAAGTGTCTTAAGTTTTTAATATTCTAAACCTGTTATTTTTAGTCTGACATGGACCAAGAAGCCAAGGCACAAGGGCAGTCGATCATACATTGTATGTACATCAGATAACACAAGTGCTGCACATTGTTAAGATTTGGAGTTCAACAAGTCTCCTGTTAGTGATTCTAAGCCTGTCGATTTTAGTCTAACCCAAGACAATTTGCCATTCAGTATATGTCAATACACTGGGTAATTGGCATGCAGTTCGCTCTTCCAAGTCTGGACAGGGTTCAACAAGTGTCTTTTTAGTATTCTGAACCTAACAATGTTAGTCTATGCCAAGCTTCTTTGCCTTCAGTGTTCAATACAACCAGTAATTCATTTAGCCAGAATTGGACAGAGTTCAAGTACATTTGTAGTGTCTGCGAGTATTCTAAATCCGGCCGTTCCAGCGTGTTACGTTAACAAAGAGTCCGGACACTTGGTAAATATCACATCAGTCCCCCACCCCCAATTCAGGCCTCGAAATTAAATTTCCTTCCTATTGTCCCAGCACTATCCCAAAAATTTAATTTCAATTGCCCAGAAGTGAGAATGAACTGTCCCAACCTGTTTTTTGGGAAGTAATTGTATGACTTCAACTTGAAGTCAACTTTATTTAATTTGCTTAAAATGTTCATCGATCACTCCCAGGCACACTATAATTGCAGTGTGGACAGGAAATTTGGGGGGATTTTTCAGAATCCAAAAGCCGGGATGTGTGCCTGATAAACAAAGCAAGGGCTGACATTCTGATGTTGATTATCTTTCTATTGTCCCAAAATGTCCCAAAGTGTCTTAAAGTTTTTAGTTGTCCCAGCCTAAATTTTAGTGGTCAGTGGCCATTGGACCACCTTTAATTTCGAGCCCAGATGCCCCCCACCCCCAATTGTCCAGTCTCCCTACTGTTGGTGAGGAAGAATGCCATTTGCTAAATTAGACATTGATTCCCTTTCATGAAATACCAACACAGGCAGAGATTAATGAGGTATTGCATGCTGTAAGCCAGTCAAACTTAGGTCAGAGGCTACGTCCTGTATTTATAGGTCCTGCAATTGTTTGGCCAAGAAGATTGTACATTTTAATGCATCATCTTTGAATGGATGTCAAATGGACCAACTTGTCTTGAAAGTTCATCTGTGTTGGTAGACGTCATTATGCAGTAAGTAATTTCCAACACAAAGAATTGGACTTTTCAACTGTGAGTGACTGTCTTTGTCAAGGAATGAGCAATCACTTCCAACAGCCACTTCCAACTTTTGTCAGCGTGTTAGTTTTGGTGCTCTAAACTACTGCAGCTTCGTTAGTACCGGGTACTTCTCTTTTGAATTACATAATTATATATGGAAATTTTTGTTGGGCCAAATGAATTCTTGATTTAACGAAATAATGCCAAGCTGGAATCATTGTCCTAGCCAGCTTGAATTTTTTTTTCTTCATCTCAGTTTTGTTTTGACATATACCTGACTTTGATTAGGGAGGTAAAAGGTGGTAGAAGGAGAGGGATGGACTCCGCCTTCCAATACTGTACTCTAGACACAGTGGATCAACAACCCACTGCCCCTACTGATAAAGATATGGGACTACCTTAAAAGTTTACCTTTTTTTATGCAGAATTTCAGGGAGTGAAATAATGTTTTTGCAGTTATGTGTATTGGAATAGAATTTTTTTCAGAAAATAAAATAAAAGTTTTTGTTTCTCCAAAGAATTCCTACTGAAGCTTTTTCTCATACTTGTACCTCTGAACTATCTGTGAAACAAGGAAATGATTTCATGTGGCCGAAGCCTAACAAACAACAATCTGCAGACAGATTTATGTGCTGGAATGATGTAATCGTTACCATGGTGACCCTAGAACGGAAAGGCAAGATGCCGGAATCAAGTACAGGCCTCCACCCCCGGCTAAATATAGGCGCCCCCAATCAGTGTGTGACAGCCGCAGAATTGGTCTGGGGTTGGAAAGTGACAGTCACAATGAACGACAAGGTCATTTACAGAAGAGCGGCGGCAACACAGGCATGGCTTGGGTACTTCTAGTGGCACTCTGGACATGTGCAGTCATCTTGGTAATCCTGGTTTGCTTCCGTTCTAGCTATCATAGTATTGTCAGTACAAAACCTTCTACTAAACAGTAGTTTTGTAGAGAGTGTTGATGTATGTTCAAGTGTTTCTTTCTTGTGGTTCAAGTTTCTTCGCAGCTGTTTTGACTTTGACACATAACTATAACGTTATGATAGATGCACATGTAGTAGGATTTGATACTGTCGTTTTCGATTGCCCCTCTGTGGGGTGACTGTGATCGTTAACAAAGAAGGGATTTTGTCAAATTTTCACTCGACCTTGATGTTGTAACTTGAGTACAGAGAAATATGGTGGCCGTGGCCGGGTCATGTTGGTATGGGCGGGAAATAGCTCTTGCTCGTTAGGGAGCCGGCTTCATGTACATGTATGACGATGCCACTGGCTTGGGTAAGCTAAGGGCCATTCCAGTGAAGGGGAGGGGGTACTTAAAGAGATTGGCAGGAGATGCCAAGGAAAGGAGTCACACATTCAAATAGCATAATACTGTGCAGTAGTTGTATATATAGCACCGTGACTGCTTTTTATCCTTAAACCCCTTGCCATTACGTGGTTTAAAAAAAGTGACTGACACGAAATCACTGATATTGCGTACAGGAAGTTTGGTTTGGTTTTTTAATTGCATGTTAAAGTTGACACTTGATACGAAAGTTGAACTTCTCAAAGTTCATATAATTGGTCTCCAATTATAATTATAGTGCTTATTAACTATATACCATTGTGTAGTCTGTTTTTTGACGTTTTCTCTTCAAATTAACTCGCTAAAATAGGTTATTTACTGTCATTTTGTATGTGTTGTACATATTATTGTAATGTTTTTCTTCTTGGGTGATGACAGGATCATAAGCTTGGCTTGATTTGTTATGACCTTGGAATGACCTTGAGCGTTCTGTGTCCTTGCACAGGGAGCCATACTGACCACCATGCTGGCCACTCGCAACTTTTCAAGTAAGTCGTGTCGCCATTCACTCCTTTAGCATTACGTGATTGAACAATATCGGTATCCCTTTCATACTTTATGCCCCTGTAGTATACATTGTACATAAAACTGTCCTGTTACGATTTGAGCCAAATCCACAAGAAACAGGTCTTTTTAAACATTTTTGCCAGAAGTTGAATTCAGTTAAAACTTGTGCAAAATCCAAAATCAGTCAGGGTCTTGGTACGATACTGGCATAGCCAAAGAGCAGGAGACAATCTTTCCTTCAGAAGAAATCTTGTAGTTTTTTTTTTCCTTTCAGCTTTCTCTAGACATTTTGGTTGTGCCAGTATCTGTTTTCTTCAGAACTGTTGATTCAAAATTTTTTCCAAAATTAGTAGTTAACCATAAGATGTAAGGCTCAATTTAGAAACTTTTTTCTCTACACTTAAGATAAGAATGTATAAGACTGTACATAAAATGTGTCCCTTCTCATCCCTTGGAAACACTTGAGAATTTACTTTCATTGTCAAGATGCTGCCACAATCATTGAGTTAAGATTACATGTATGTGTGGTTTAGAGTCACATTGTCTGCATCAAGACATAATCTTGCAGCAAAACACTTTTTATTGTAAATAATAAGTAAACTATAGTATTACAAACTTCAGAAGAGGATCTGTAATGTTGGAGGCCCTCTGAATTGTTAGTGACAATTCTGACCATTTTTATTGATAGCGGTTATTACATCAATTATAGGTTGCTCAAGTGTGACACTTGCTGTTTTTTTTATAAAATATAAACGTTGACATTTAGTACTTTCATATGCGTCCTCTCTCCATGTGTGTCTTTATCAAAAAGTGCAACTGACAATGAAAAGAAACAAAGTGCTTCAAAGGGAGTGATACGAGAGGGGCACATTTTTAAATGTTGTATCTCAACATGTAACTAGCTGTCGTGGGGAGTGATAATCTGTGGTACAGTAACTGTGTTAAACTGGTACAACAAGTTGTCCTGTTAAGTGAACCAGTGGTAGACTACATGTAAGTGTTGAATGTAAGACTTACAGAAAAGTAAACTAGTCTGAGAGCTAACCCATGGTTCTCTGTGAGAAACTCTGTAAAAAAATTGTGAAGTTCAGTTTTTGCTACTGCTCATTTTCTGTTGGGTACCTCTGTTCACAGACCAACTTTGGTTGGGATAGTGATCACCCATCTCTTTTGATATTGATAAACAAATGTGCCAAATCAACCTCTTAAACATACAAGAACCCAAATAATTACCAGTAATAACTAGATTTGAATTTTGTGTGTTTGTTTGTGCATTTAAAACCTTTTGCTTAATCACAGATCTATGTTTTTCTCGTATTATCTATTCTACTACAGACAACTTGCCCTCCAATATTTCATAATCATAGGTGTTATAGGAACTTGCAAATAACGAACAAATTTTGAAAGCACAATCGTCATGTTAAGATCCCCCTGAACAAAGTTGGTCAGTGGCACAGAAAACTTGTTGAAAACCCTTTGTTCTGTTTTTTGTTTCTTTTGAACTTACGTCTTCTTTGTTTCCCTCTCCACTTTTTTGCTGGTTTGGGCTTTAGACATTCCTGCACAGAATGCCCATGCAGGTAGGAAGGGTGTTGCACTGAACTGTGGGATACATCCATTGCATTGTGGGATACATGTGCATTCCCATCATGCAACATTCTTCACGTCCAGTGTGTTCCTCGTGCTAACATGGTTCTTTCCATATCCCTCCATCTGATGCTAACCCCCTCTGATAAACATGGTACGGTCCAACCATAAGAACAAGGAACTAAAAAGTAAAATCCTAAATTTAATTGTTTCCAAAGTTGTTTCTTTTTATTATAAAATTGAAATTGTTGTAAATATCATTGAAAATTAAGAATTCCACCTTGTTTCGTAGCAAGGAGGTTAAATACAAGATTTTAAACGATTTTAAACTCCTTGTTCCTTGGTACTGTTTTTTTAACAAAATGGGAAATGTTGGACTGTACCATGTTTGCCAAGGGGTGGTTTTGGTGTCTGGAGGGACGTAGTGATTGTTTTTACCAGAGAATGATGGGTGTGGCTCTTCAAGTAACCTCCTTGAAGGATTCCGTTTTGTTCTTTCTCTCCAAGTGTCCTAAATTCACTTCTTCACGTGTTGAACTTTCTTTGACTTTGACTTAAACACACATTATCAAGTTCCACATAATTATGTACAGTAGACACCTGACTTCAAGTTACTCTAGTTTCTTCATCGTTCTATGATTAAGTCACCCGTAAGAAGCATAATTTCCGTACAAAATGTGGTTTTGAGGTGCCCGGAGCACCGGTGTTATGTTGACCACACCCTTTGACTTCCCTCTTTGTGATGTTTTGCCTGATGCATGTGTTCAGAACAGCATGATGTTTTTTTGTGTGGTTTGCGTCTTGTTTGTTTGTTTGTTTCTCTCTTTCTTTCTTTCGTTATCAGACTTCTACGACTTGAGCCCAACAGTATGATTGTGTTTTGATATATAGCACAAAACTGGTAAATTGGGAAATATGACACAACTATATGTAACACAACAGTACATATTGGTTGACGTGCATGAGGTGGAAAATCTAGACAGATTTGTTTTTGAGCCATTGCGCCTCCGAAAGTTTCCTTACTACATTGTAGTTATTTGATATGCTTGTGGTATGGCTCTCCTCAAACAAGAAGAGTGTTGGCGTCATATATATGCTGTTATCATACTCTTAAAAGGGCCTAATTTCCTACTTTTTGTGAGGCTGAGCAAAATTGAACAAGGGAGGGACTGAAAGAGAAAGGGGGAAGAAATAACAATTTCAAAGGAAAGAATGAAAACTGTACATCCAGAAAGTGTCATTTTTCGTCCATATTCTTTCCTTAGTAGAGCAGGATAGTGAATAAAAAGTTGCTGGGCTTCTGTCAAAGTAGAATGTCGTACTTTCTCGTGTGTCTTGTGTTCCTTTGTGTTTTGTGATCTTTTCCTACTTTTATTATATCACCTTTGCATTATTATATCACCTTTGCATGCCATCCTGATTGCCTGTTGTTGAGTTGAGTTTGGTGGTACTAGCACGATGCATGAACATATACCTGAACTTTAAATATTCCACCACACATACAAGAGAAGTCTCATGCTGTATATGCTGGATTTTCTTAATTTCTGTGTCTGAAGGATTGAAGGTGAAACACTGTAATACAGGTACACAAGCATTTGAGATCGCAAACATTTTGTCTTTTCCTGGCATGCTTATATGTAAGTGCTATTTCAAGTTTGCTTTCCGACATCTGATCATTTCTTGCTTTAGGTAGCCTTGTTACGTAAAGCTTTGAATTTTCTATATTTCAGTAGCTTGAATATTATTTCTCTACTTAATTTCTGCACGTTTGATCTTGTTTGCTCTTTTTGTGATGCCTATTTTATAACTTTTCCCTTAATTTTTCTTGACAGTGCCTGCACGACATAAAGGTTTGTTAGTCATACCCTCTAAGGTATTAATACTGGACTCGTCTCTTTTTTCTTCTTTTCTTCCTTCACTTTACGTTCTGTTATATTAACATTTCGTTTTCCCATCTCTCCCTCCTACCCCTTTTCTATCCCTCTTTATTTTCATGTGTTCTACCCTAGTACCACCGGGCAAAAAACAACAACAACACCATCAGCAACAACAGCAACAGCAACAACAACATCAGCAGGATGTACAGAGAAAAGACGAGACACCTGCACCCGACCCTAAAAGCCCTACCATAACGGCACTTTTAAAACCAAAGGGAGAATCTAGTCTATTTGCTGGACTTGTAACTGCTGCAAAGGCAAAAAAAACAGAACCCCCTTCTTCGGACTCCAGTATAGTTGCGACGGCATCAAAGGCGTCGCCAACTAAAATCGAGGCCACTGCATTTGACCTGGACAGAACAGATAGCGTCATTCCTGCAAACCAAAGTGTGTGAAGTTTGGTTTCATTCCTTTTCTTTTTTTTTCTAAACCATTAATTGTGGAAATCTAACAATTTTCAGTTGGCTGTTTTCATTTCTGAACACATTCCTGCACCATTTTGTTGTTGGAAGACAGGATCTTCACAGTTAACACGTTGCCCTGATAGCACCCAGTTTTCGTTACGCCCCAACGTATACGTCCTGAAAAAGCAGCTTTGGTCTGAAAGGCCATGCAGAACACAAAAATTTGATTTCTTCTGCCTTTGATTTGACACTGGGTTATTTTCTTTTGTTGTTGTTGAGCTGCAAACCAAGCTCGTAGCTTTTCTCTCTTTCAACTGGTGATATACCAATAGAAATCTTGGTGCTGGGTGTTATATTCTTNTCAAAAACCTATCAGCTGCATTTTGCTT